AATACGACTGTTCACTTATTTTTTAGTTTTTTTACTTGACAACCTTGCTCACATTACCGTTCCGCATGTCCTGTGAAATCAACCGATAGTGGCAAGCATGCACGAAACTGTTGATATAGGAGTCAGTTCTCGTCGTAGGTTGAGTGTTTTTACTGCTCATTGCTCGTCAGCGTACATACCCAATATATCACGATAAGCGACATCCTATCGGCATGGAATGCCTATTGAAAGACTGGTGGGAACGGGATTTGATTGCTCGGCTCCAAGGTTGTCCCCTCAATATACATGCCGCACCACGACAGGCTTACACGACCGTCAAATGGTCACATGCTAATCACCTGGCATCGCGACAAAACGAAGGCGTCGTCTTAAAAGCGCAACCCGGTTGTGGACGGCGCTCAGACCCGTGCCCGTATTTGCAAACTTGTCATTACAATAGATATCGAGACGCGCTGTTGCTTCACATTTGTGATAATATTAACGGAATATGGATATCCGTAGGAGACCGAGGTATACGAACTACCCTGTCATTCAGCAACTCTAGTGGACTGCAGCTTTGAGATATCTGGTGTAGGGAATGTATAGAATTGTTCTCGTTAACCAGAGCATTCATGCTTCTTACATAGTAGATCTCACGTCACAAATGCTGGTAAGCCATCTTGTGAGATTCATACTACCTAGTTAGGCAGTACACGCCTAGATATCAGAGGGCTGATGCCGAGGACCCCGAGGCCCCGAGAGCCCCGAATGCTATATTTTCTCTAGTAAGAGGCATTGAAAGTGTTGTTCATGACGACCATTTGACTCCGCAGGCAGGTAGAGACTCCCACCACTCTATAGTTCCTGTTTGCACCTCAATTCGTCAGGGCAAGCAATTCAAGAGGGAAAAGGTGCTCATCTCATCGTTAACCTTGCACTACATGTAACATAGACCCACTAACATCGCAACCTTGCCTTATTCTGTCTGTTTCGTTCTGGGGTAGACAATCCATATTGGAGTGATCGCATCGAGTCAAGTCTAGCAAAGGCCACCAATATTGTCCAAACCAAAGGCTGGGCGAACCCATATTTAGTGTTCTATCCTCCATCTGCTGATGTGCAAATTCAATACAATAAAACAAAAGTCGGCTCACCGACGAAACGACTGTCATAACCCATATTGCTAGGTACAGAGAAAGCCTTGAGGATAGACATAGACACATGACATAGCTCTCGCTAATCGTGTAGATTTATTTGTAGCTGTGAGATCGAATCGCCACTAGTATGCAGTCCTCTGAAGTAACATCAGAACTCGCTTGTTTGTGGGACGAGTCAACTGGTTACGCATGACTGACGGGCATCTTCAGCTCGCCACTCTCCACTAACTCGTGTGCTCGCTTTACAGTGGTATAAAGCTCGAAGCGGCAAGTATATCCCGTGTGGCCTCGACAACCCGTAACTCTACGGGCGAGAGACTGTTACTTTCCGTACTGACCCGAAGCCTACCTTGTCCTACACCATCGCCTAACCGCCTCACTGGGCAAAAGTGATCCTATCCATATCTTCAAGATCCCTGGGAACATCACCCACTTGTCTGGATCTACACTACCTAACAAAGGACCCCTGCTGCCAAGCTAGCTGCACTGACGATCAATGCACACAACACTATCCCTTTTTTTTTTTTGCCTCCCTCTTTTTCATACTGGAACAGGTGCCCCCAACCATTCAATTTTTTAATTCAATACAACGCCATCCAGTAGGTGTGTACGCGCACGTCTATACTTACCCACCTATCATTTATTTCTCGGTTGTACTTTTGGTATTCCTACCACGAAAACTTCAATTACCTTCCTCCCATTGACGTTAATGATAACGGGTGTCAAATAATTGCGCCCACATCCCTCGACGAGCTTTCCTATTTGCGTGTTAAGAACCAAGTCTCGACGAGGATACAACATTGGGCAATTTCCCCGAAGTCTTCAAATATAGTATGCAGCGGGGTGGGGTTTTTAAAGATTTCCCTGAGAGAAATTGTACAGTGTCTTCTAATTCGAGGACCCAAGTTGTAGATGGTTCGCACTAGGGGAAATGAGATATTGGTCGCTCGGATCGAGCGTTCGGCAGTAGTGTAGTGCGTGGGCTTAACAATCACTCTGCCAAGTCGCGACAAACGTGACCCATGATCAAGCCATAATCACCAATATCAGCCCAACCATGAGAGGAGGGAGGTCTATCTTACTGATTGTGACTTTTTTTTTTTTTTTTTTCACGTAGAAATTTTTTGGTCCTTGCGGGCTTCGGCACCTCCGACCCCAGCCAGTATCACTATGACATCTAACCATACGTGGGCCTTTACGTCGATGAGGTAGTGTAGTATCTTTTAACCCGCCGAGAATGAGAGAGAGAGAGATGCATGCTGTTCTTCTTTCGATCATGAATGCGTCAGACATGTGGGTCAGATTATAGGAGCGTAGGAAGCGAAGAAGGGCGGGACACCAACATTGGTGGTTTGGAACATGGTGATGCACTCCGTAGTTCCTGGTGCACTTTCGGATGAGCTACCGTGACGCCAAAAGTGCATAGTACCAGAAAATGCAAAGACACTAGCGGTGACTGCTAGTCTCTTGGGTTCTGTCTTGGGTACTGCTTGGGTACACCGCTTTAGTCTAAGGTAGGAACCAGAGCGATCTGACAGCGATTGGCGTAGCCTTTGGTTCGGATAGTGAACTTGTCACTTGTCACTAATCTGCTAGATCCCGTTACACATCATCGATTCGATGGAGTCGCTATAGTAGGAGTGGCAAGGTAGGTTTCACAGAGCAATACTCTTTGTAATATACCGCTACTATTACTATTATCAGCTATAATACCTGTTCAAGTTTATCTACTAGCCACCACCGACCCAGCATTACCAGGTGGTATAGATAACATCTACGGGGGAGAAAAGATTTGTACATGTGCCTTGTACGAATGGGCGAGGAATATGTACCAACCATCTATTGGATGTCTATACGAAATCAGGGTGGCTTGCATATGCCACCCTGCCATTATTTCTCTGTCCCGATCGAGGTCTTGACCGCTTGGCTGGAAGTATGTGTTAATAAGTGTGTTAATAGGTGGCTTGCTGCTGAGCGGCGCGGGTGACTTTTCTTGGTCATCCAAGCCACCGGAATTTCTAGCCAAGGGAATGTGCACTGAAAAGCAATAAGCTGACGAGACATTTTTTTCAATTCATCGCAGAGACCATATTTAGGTAGAGAGGTATCGAAGACTCGTAACACAGAAGCGAGTATTAATTCTAATATTCTTCGAGCAGGGTTGCACAGTTACAGTTTCTGTTAAATGAGAACAAGCCATGCAGCCGATTCTAGAGCTAAGGAAACTTCGGCTGACAGTTGGGAGGGATAAAAAAAAGGATATACAAATCCCTTGCTTCCGCCACAGTCCAAAACTTTGAAATAGTTCATCCGTTGAGATATACGATATTCAAAAAATTGTGGAAGCTACCTTATATTGACATGTCATTTACGGCTGGCTGATAGCTGGTTGAGCTGATTTACGTATCTTGCAGTCTAATACAGTTTCGTGGGGATGTCTTCCAAATACATTGAGATTATTCATTTAATATTATACAAACAAACTTCGTAAGCATTCCGACGAGGCCTATCTATATATAGCATATGACATTAATTTCCATCTATTCATGTGAATTAGACGGAAGAATGCTTGGAGCATTTACTAGCAGACGTTTGCCATGAGTTTTCAGTTTAAGTGACTGACTCGAACATCCTATTGCATTCCCCCATGTGGAAGAAGAACCACGGACTAGAAACCGTAGAACCTAGATCCTAACACGAATCTTTGTACCATGTTGATGGTTCTCCCAGTCGCATCAAGGTACCTGAGATCCTTTGTGGCCAATTTGAAGCGGCTGGCTTTGATAGTCTCACACAATAAGTCAGTCATGCATGCGGATGCTCTAGAACATCAAATTCTTTTGTCCCAACAGTCAATCAAAAAGGCATGATAAGCCTCATGGAACCTTGACATGTGCAAACCGGGTCTCTGGGGCCCCGCATAAACGCAGATTATCTTGATCTTGATGAAATTCATGCAAGGTTTCCACTTCATCTTACCCTCAGTCTCGGCGTGAGATCTAGGTAGGTAGCCATATGGCAAGGCAACGGCGGATTCCTACATCCATGGACTAAAGCTGGAGGGCCCAGAACTTGAAATAAACCTGTAGTATGGAGACCAACTCAACGGTCTAGCCTCACGCTAGATCTGGATCACTAAGAACCCTGCCATATTAGCACCCCAAATGCTGGATTAAACGGCAGGAGTATGAATATAGTTCACAAAGACAGCGGTGATTCAAACATCTTGGATTGTCTTGTTTAGCTACATTAGGATTCACGGACTATATCATCCCTCTTTTTAGGTTGACAGCTTTGTCGTCTTCAGCTTCATGCATTGCACTGAGCAGGTACTCAGCCCTCGTTTGTTTTTGTTTTTTGTCAAATATGAGGGTTTACGGTAGTAAGAGGCAAATGTTGATGATGGCGAGTTAGATCATGCCCCGTGTTCCTCCACCATTCCCCAATGACTCTCAGTTTTCTGTATCATATCCCAATTATAGTATGTAAAATGGATGCCTAGCAGATGTGCCGTCTCCGGCTAAGCTAGGACCCAGAAGGAATCCAAGAACCTACTAGTCTAGAACAGTCGGGATCTTTCAGCAGGCCCGGTATGGATATACCAGTAACAAATAGATGGGGTCATAATCAGCCTCACCTCAACGACTTACTGCGTCTTAATTATTGTTCTATAAATCCGATTCCATTATTAGCCTTGAATTCAACGGCCGCAAAGACTATCTGGCTGGAAAAAAAAAAGACGAATCATATACACAAATAGCTGCTCTATCGACACCCCACTCCCTAGAGTTTGAGTTACGACTCAGCACCCAACCTAGAGGACCTTGACTCGAGATAGGAGGTCGAAATCCCATCAACAGGATATCTCGATTGGTCTAGTGGTCAGGATACCTGCTTGTCACTAGTCGTTGCGAATTCCACGATTGTGGATGCTAGTAACGATCTAAGAGCAAAACCGCAGGTGGCCGGGGTTCGATTCCCCGATCGAGAGTGATAGCTTCATGCCTTTTTTTTGTGTCCCTTGTGATTCCTTTTTACCTTCTATTTTCTCATTTCCTTTTGACCTGGTTTGCTATATTGGTATACGGATTTAACTGATATAAAGACTGCCGGGTGTTATCTGCTTGAGCTAGTATGTTATTCTCAATCGTGTCTAGATCTCTCTAGAATCTCCAGGCACTATGGCTAGGCTTTGTCTATTTGGGGCCCGGCCAGCAACAGATCAACCTCAGATAACGAAATACGCGAGTCTAAATTAAATCTAGGGACTATCTTTGCTGTCACGAGATAAAACGTATAAACACGGCTTATCAACAAAGAGGGGAAAGTTTGGTAAATCAGTAATATACTTGAGCGATTTACATCGAGAACATAGTAGCCAGCTCCCCAGAAATTTGATCGCGAGGGAGTTAATTAAACACGCAAAATATCCTCCTCACAGGTAATCGTTTCCCCCCATATTCTTGCTTCCCATCAGCAGGTGAAAACAGACGGGCCGGCAGGTTGGTAGGTTTTGCCGCCGTTGTTGTAGATATTGATGAGAAGGCCGGGGTCGGTACTCTTGTAGGCACCGGGGAATGAGACGAGGTTCGACGGAGACTTGGAGCCCGAACCGCCGGAGACCATGATCTGAGCACATGAGATGTAAAATTGGGCGCCGTTTGCCGCACCCGCGCTGCATATGGTAAGTGTGTTAGCTACCTTCAGGGACCTCGTGATGATCTCGATGGTAGAGTGACGGAGATCTGGGGTTTAGAAAACACAACTTCTTTTTTTTTTAAGGGGGTGAGGTTGAATGGAGTGTTGATGAGGTTGGCGATGATAGATACGTATTTGGAATGTATGTAAATTATTTCAAGGGGCTGAAATTACCTATGAAGCGCAACGTGCTCAATGCGGAACAGGTAGTCGCCATTTTGGATACATTGCGGGATAGTAAAGCTAACCTGAGACTTCCCTGCGGTGATAGTTGTTGTCAGTCAAACCCTGAGTTATATTTACTTCATCGTCGCTCTTGCGTCTTTCTCACGACAAAACAAGAACGCTCACCGTTAGAGGGCCAGACGTACTGCCCGCCACTGGCAGTCGGCATATCCCTGTTTACACGCTGGAGTTAGTAATTACTGAAAAGAGTAAGATTTCAGCTCATGTTTCGGGAGCATGCAGGGGCAATGAGGCCCGAAACCTGCCAAAGGGGGGAAATAATGACTCCAGGGGACTAACTGGAAGACCTTGAACCACTGCAGTGCTCGGAGCGTTAGTGATGGTTATTCCGAGTGTGATATATATGTTTTCGAGGGAACTGAGAGATCACAAGGCATGACTCTGGCCCAAAGGAGGCCCAATACTCTCAAAATACATAAAAAAAGGGGGGAATGACGCCGAAAAATACTTACGACAGCGCCCTTGCCATCCCACGTTGCCGCTGTCTGGCCACTGGGGACCTTTGCCATATATGCGGACAAGGCTCCCGGATGGTAGATATTTGGTGCCACCGCCCAGGTTATCTGGCCACCTGCGTTAACCTTTGTGATGTCGGGCGCCCCGCCCGGCGTCCTCTCGTAACATCGGATCGCATCGCTGTTCACGTCCGTAACCGGGCCATTGCTCTGGAAGTTAGCCGTCTATCGAGGAATCCGGGGTTAGTAATTACTGCCGACAAATATAACACCGAGGGTTCGGGGAGCCTGTCGAAGCAAGAGGAAGAGCACCCCCCCGATTAAGCAAGTCCCTACTCCAGGGAATCGCCGAGAAGTGTATCAATGGTCTGGATCACTGACCTGGCGTACTGATGACCAATCTGATGTTCCAGCAAGTTTCGGAAAGGTATCTGAACGATTTGTTAGCTCCGCGAGTAAAAGGAGTGGACGATAAAGACTCTAAGATATAGATATAAAAAAATATAGAATCTCCAAGGAAGCACTCAACCGCTATCACAGCTTCGAGTATAAAAATGAAATAGATAATATAGATTTAGACACCTGCAACCAGAAAAACAACATAAAAATCCTGATGTCTATATACATACAATGAGGAGCTGCCTGAATAGCGCCAATGAAGAGCGCAAGTGCTGCTGTAGCTTTCATGTTTAATAGTAATTTAATGACGACAATTAATGGAAGGGTATGGAATTTGACCCGATAGACCTCTTATGTTGTAGGTTGTAGATTGTAAGGGTGCGGATACTAGCCTATTTGAAGGTGTTGATAAAATAGGAGGTCAACAAAATGGCTCGCTGGGTCTCAAATAAGCGTATTGACATCGTAGCAACGGAATACCGAGCCCGGGAGGCGGCGGCTAACAATCAATAAGCAAGCTATCAGGTGCAACTAAGAGGTATGAGACCAGCCAATGATGCCAAGATGGAAATATAAAATCGAGCGGAATGTGAGTTGCGAGAACCGGGTAAATGAAGCCTGAGCCGGATATATTGTATGCCTACCTCTCATGAGGTGCAATCCTAAAGGACCTTACCCACCCCAAGATGGCTCTGGCGCAGCCATGGCTCGGCAAAGATGCAAGCAGGGAAACGAAAACTAACATCATATGCCGTGTTAGAGAGCCTGACATGACAAACATCTTGTCGACAGAACTAGTAGTCAACACACGAATGTCCCAAAAAAAACTGACATCACATATAGTGGGATTGATATTAAGCAATGTTCTTATGCTACCTTGACTGTCTGATTTGCCTCCTAGTGAGTACAAATGAGACGAGTAAATCTACATGAATGTGAGAGATTTTGGAAGTCAATATGATGCAACTTAGCAGTTCCAATCTAGAATCGGGTCAGCAAGTTCCTCAGCTCGTGTCTCGCTTCTTAACGGGCTGTCCTGCCCATTATTTTCTCATATGAGACCCTGCAAGATACAAAATATGCTGTGCCTCGTCTGAAGCTAAAGTAGTCTTGTTTTTCTCTTAGACGTGGAGAACTTCATCACATCTCCTAACGAAATCAAACGAAGACTGACATGTGCAGATCTCAGTGAGATACAGCACTAAGAAAGCCGATATTACCATGTCTAATCAGCCGGACCCTCTAGATAACGCCGTTCGTGCTTTTGGGAATTATGAAAATGATCTCAACAATCCCACAAGAGTTGCTGTGGTATCGAATAGTTGGGATCTTGTAGGCACCCGTGGAGGATTTCAATTACCATCGTCGGTTACCAAGAGGCATAGCATTAGCACCGCCGCCACCGCCGCCGCCTAATGGTTTAATTAATTTTTATTCGTAAAAGCCACAAGAGCAAGGGATGGAACTTACCACGATGACCACCACGACCATAACCACGGCCACCATATCGGCTACCACCGCCGCCTCCGCCGTACCGCGCCATCTCAGCTAATCTTGGGTCAACTTGTTGCTTAGCCTCTTGAAGAACACTGACGAGATCACGAGCCTGCTTCGAGTCTGATGATGTGGGTTAGCCTAGGACGAAGAGTATAGGTAGAGTGGTGAGGCTTACTGTCAGTAGTAAAGAAGGTAATGGCGGTACCCTTGGCGCCAGCACGACCGGTACGGCCAATACGATGAATGTAGTCCTCCGAGTTGTTCGGATAATCATAGTTGATCACATGAGTGATGTTGCGCACATCTTTATCACATAAGGTTAGCTCTAGAAAACGAGTTGCTATGAAGCAAGTCCCAGCGGCGATCACAGGTGCCATAAGCATATTGTTCCGTGCCTTCTCCATCGAGAATGGGGCTGTCTGTTGCATCAACACTGCCAATCTGGAAATAATCCCAATAGTCTGGTCCGGGTCCTCAGGATTTGGGAATCTTAGAGACAGCTTGATAAAAATCAAGAAATGCTCAACTTCGCCTTCTTGTACCACAGAATACCAGGTACGAGGCGAAACATCGACACGGCTCTTTGGCCATACCATTGATCCCGATCATCCGGGGGGAAGGAGAACCACGAGACACGATTAGGCCAGTAATATGTGCGCAATCAAGAAAGCCCCTAGACATCACAGTCAAGCACATCGGATATAACTCTGCCGGAAGTCGCGGGGAGGGGATAGGATAGGGGAAGTTTTAATCATACCAATACCACGAGAAGCCACGTCAGTGGCGACCATGATGGGACTCTTGTTGGTCTTGAATTGATCAAGGACCCAATCACGCTCGTTTTGCTGTTTATCACCGTGAATCGCTGTAAACACGTTAGCGGTGAAGGAATGACCTTGTGAGGCTAAACCTACAAAGTGCTGGCCAGCCATCCTGGCGGAGAAATCTTGTGATTTCATCGGCAACGCGTTTCGTGCCTACGAAAATGAGCGACTTGTTCTCCTTGTTATCCATGATCTTCTCTAAGTGCTTGATCATACGATCACGCTTCTCGCCCTCGGAAACTACTTCAACAACTTGAGTAATGCGATGGTTTGCAGAGAGATCCATGGAACCAATGTTCACTTGAATGAAGTCGGTCTGGAACTCAGAGGCTAGGGCTCGAACTTCCTTGGGCCAGGTAGCAGACCACATGAGTGTTTGACGGTCGGGCCGAATTTGGCTGATGATCTTTCGGATCTGTGGTTCGAAACCCATATCAAGCATGCGATCAGCCTCGTCGAGGACTAGGTAGGTGACCCGGCGAAGATTTGTCTTGCCACCTTCCAGCATGTCGATCAAACGTCCAGGCGTAGCAATGCAGACTTCGACTCCCTTAGATAGGTCTCGAATCTGAGGGCCACGAGGAACACCTCCGTAAACACATGTGTTGCGAATTCGGGATGATTTGCCAAATTTGGTAATCTCCTGTTGAATTTGAACTGCCAACTCTCTTGTGGGGGCTAGGACGAGGACAATAGGACCATCGCCAGGCGCGAGCAGAGGCTGAGCGTTGATGTGAACAATGGCAGGAAGGCAGTACGTAAGTGTCTTTCCGGAGCCTGTCTCGGCAATACCAACGACATCGCGACCGGAAAGGGCCATAGGCCAACCTTGGGATTGAATGGCGGTAGGAGCGGGAAAGCCTTGAGCCTTG